AAAAAAAAAATAAAAACCTAACTAAACGAGGCAATTATTAAAATCTATGACTAGGTTAAAAACTATTACAAAAAAGAAATGTTTTAAGGTTCTTTTTAATAATCGCCATGCTCTCAGACTGTTTGATATAAAAAGGTAGGTCATTCCAAAGTTTCGTGGCATAAAAAGAGAAGGATCTTACAACAAGGGAACATATGTTGTCATGTACAAAAACGCAGTCTAAAGGACTAAGCCAGTCACAAAAAAGGTACAACATTCAAATACACTGCACTTATCAGGAAGTAAATACCATTTATTTCCAAGCTCTGGGATCTTCACCTGAAACAGTTAAAACCAAAGGTTAAAAACAAGTACACAGAAAATAATGAGAACACTACTTAAAACTGTCTGTTAGAAAGACAAATAGTATGATACTGTATAGTCAATTAATTTTGGCTGAGAATACGAAGCACTAGCAGGCAATCAAAACAAGTTCCTAAATTAATTCACACTGGTATCTTTCAAGTACATGTAGTTGTATATGTACATGTATCTGGACATGTTTTGTACAACAGTGGTCATGTACTTCAATAATAACTACTTACTTCAATATTGCCTTGGACAGGAAGGTAATACTTAACAATGGCCTCATATACTTTGTCTGCAACATCGGGCTGTCCCAACCATGCCTATAAAACATTCATTGATAGATTCTTAAACTTAAAAAAAAATTTAAAAAAATTAAACTATGTTCACTTTAAGAGCATCAGACTCCCGTTATTGTCCATGGCACCTTTCATGTACAATACCAAATAAATATAGATGTACCACCCAGGCATGGCTTCAAATGTTTGGCTGTGATACTTTTTTTTAACATCTATCAGTGACAGGTAAAAATGTCTAAATTAAGACTTAACAAATACAGAGTAAACATGTTTGTTTGTTGTGGGAGGCACATTTAGCTCTACGACTGTTTATTACTTCAGCTTATTAAATTATCCACAAAATTAGGGGAACAACTGAGTCTAAACTTTTAAGCTCAGAATTTACATAGTTTACATGACAACATTCTTTCCAAAAGAGTTACTGGGTAACTTAGGTATTCAGTAAGCCCAGTATTGAGGTGATGGGGTGAAGTTCTTTAAAAACACATTGTGAATGATTGCACGGCAGAAATACATGTGCACATGTACATGTATACAAGTATGCATTGATTTTTTTTTCCAGCAAATATAAAGCACTGACTGCAATGAAGGAGCAGCAAATTATTTTGCAATTTAATATCAATTTACTTCAGGACAATAACACTAAGGTCACTGAATCGTTCAGTTTTTACTAAATTTTTCCTCTGCCTAAAATAGGTCATATTCATGACTATTCTTGAGACTGAACTGAAACAACAGGAACTGTTATTTTCAAAGGCCGCTAAAAGTAGAGGAATCATAGGCTTAACACTAATAATAATTTACTGCTTTTCGCTTTACTTACAAAGCATTTGTCTCCGGGCTGGTACTGAATACTTGCCGCATAGGACTGATCCTGCTGTTCTTGAACTGAATAAACAACACAAAACAAAAAAGTGTTAATTAGAAGCAAAACACAAGGACACGAAATCCTTAAGTTGTCCGCTGCATATGATAAAAGATACTGGTACATTTGTACATGTACTCTTTCCAGTTCTTAAAAGTGATCATAACAGTAAAAAATAAAAACTGGGACCCAGTACAAGCACTTTTACTTGGCAGAACATTAATGAAACCCCTGTTGACTCTCCTTAGTTGACATTCTGTAAACAATTCTAGCAATGCAGACATTACCATTCTTAAAATCCCCCAAATTTCCAGCTAAACATCTCAACACACGGCTTCGCGAACGGATAAAACCCAGTTTGAAACTTAACTTTGATTGCAAACCAAGCGTCAAATTCAGTATAGCCTACATCCGATGAAAATAATCCTATACTAAAAGGAAATAATTCAAACTGAGTGACAAAATAAATAACAGCTGCACCATTATTATTTTGGGCTATCATCTTAAAATAACTCGTTGACGCTGCATTTCTGATTTTATGACCTAATTAGCTATTGTCTTCTTCAAGTATCACACAATAACTTTTACTTGGCAAAAAAAAAAAAACATTATGGCTATTACTGATGAATGACATGAATCAGCAGTTTCATTACAGGCGCAGCCAAATTGAACAGCTTCAGTGAGGATAGTTTTGTCCATCTGGTTTGACCATCTAGAGGAAATTTCTTCTTGTAAAGAAGTTCAGTTCAAAAAAGAGTTTAGCCTGCCCATGAAAACCAACTGCTCTACTGCTTAAGCCTTACTGAAAACCCTGATGACTCTCCTTAGTTGACATTCTGTAAACAATACTAGTAATGTGGACGTTACCATTCTTAGAATCCTCCCAAACTTCCAGCTCAACATTGCGGTACAATTCATTGTCCAGGGATCTTTTGGCTTGCCATCCATGTTTCTGATCCAGATTTGGTTTCACTGGATCTTCTTTTTGCTCCTCTTGATCATAAACCCTGTTCTGCCGAGCAGACTTAGCTACAAAGAGTTGTCAACAAAAGCCTGATCAGTATTTGTTACACTAGTCATGCATGACTGCAAAATTGAGTGGCTACTACCTGTTGCAGTAGCCAAATTGAAATTCTGTCTTGAAAGAATCCTTCTTAAAGTGTTACTATGACCAAATTTTTACCCCTTCCAATTTGTACATGTAGGACATAGAATTCCATAAAAGATTAAAAACACTGTGTACAGTTTGCAAATATCTGCATTGGTTCCAAAGATATTTAAGTTTAAAAATGTGTAAACTATGCCAATGAGAGGACTGATGATGTCATACACGTATATACTTACATGTAAATAGTCTAGAGCTACATGTATCTTGGTCAATTTGCAGCAGAAACCATGATTGAAACTTTGCAGGCTAATACTGTAGTTCTACATGCAACACACCTACAGCTTAAAAAAAAATCCATTCCCATGGCAACCCATTCTTTCCCACTCCCCTCCAACCTGATTTCAATATTTTAGTGATTTTCAGGTCGACGAACATTAAACAAGGCCAAGAACTCGCCCTAACTTATTTATATGCTAACTAGATCATGCAGATGACGCACCATTGGAAAATACATGTATCAATATGGAGCACTAAAGGTGGCCCACAAAAGCCTTTAATATTGGGGAGGTCTGGAACCCAGTATGTTGCCATGGTAACAAAATGTTAAGCCCATATTGTGGAGCACCTCTAGTAGAATCTTACTGCAAAGAATCAGACATTTCTGATACAAATTGGCTGATATGTCTTTGTTCATCATATTTGATCAAAATTAGGTTGAGTTTATGACATCATTGCTTAGCTAATTTGCATATTTTAAAAACTTTAATAATTATCTCTGGAACAAAAAGAGATATTTGAAAATAGTAAACAGCATGTTTTTTCTCATACAGACTACTTTTCTATGTTTTAAAATGGCTTAGATTGGAAAGATGCAATTTTTGTCCTAGCACCAATAATTGCTACATGTACATGTACAGTGTACTTTTCTTACAGGACTCACAACTATCTAATCAACAGGTTTTTCAATTTTTCTGTTAATGAGTATCTACTAGGAAAGTGGCAATGAGAGAGTAAAGGGATTTGCCCACATGCACAATACATTGATCTCAGCCACAATTTACATTCTGTAAGCTTAAATCAGATCTCTAAATGCAGACCATTTTTAATACCAATTCACCAGTGGATAATGTTTCTGTTTCTAGCGAAATTGACACTGTCACAGAGATAGAAGACGTATGGGTTATTGACCAAGTGTGAGGTCAAGATGGCTGGATATTGGCCAAGTTCTTTTTTTGCATGTTTATAAACTTGCAAAGAAAGAACGAGGCCAATATCCAGACATCTTGACCGAACAAGCTTGGTCAATAAAGGATTTATTATATGGCTTTCGGGGAAGTTTTTCTTGCAGGACACGGAGGGTAGTCCCGAGCAGGCAAGATGACTCCATCTTGCCCGCTCAGGTAGCCAATCAGAGCGCAGGATTTGACTCATCTTACCCGCTCACGGAGCTAGTCATATAATAAATGTACATATAAAATAGTTGTCATGTACTGTACCCCTTGTTTTACCAAATTCTCAAAACTACTAAGCATAAGAAGCAAATGCTAATGGTGCCTTACAATTTATTTCAGAAATAGAAAACATTTACCTTGTTTCTATTAAGTTTTAGTAGAATTCTACTAGTATACTAATGCAAATGCTGTAATCTGATTGGCTAAGCCATTGAACACTATCAGCCATTAGTGTGCAGTGGCTGGAGGTTGTCTAGGAAATGGCGACATTTTTTTCGTTTTTCCAAAGTGCTGGGAGGAAAATTTTGATGCAAATGGCTGATTAAATTCCTGAGAAGTCAAAATGAAGGACATTTTTGGCCTCATCAACTATCACTTCATAGAAATCAAGAGTGGGTAATTTAATTGTTAAATAGATACACGAGTGGACGTTTGGGAGAACAAGAAATGCTGTTGGAACACAAGCCGCAGGCGAGTGTTTCCACAACGAAAAAAAGGAAAACAACTTGTTAACTTTGATTATCAAAATGTAAATTATCTTTGCTTGTGCCATCATTACATCTACGTCGACAGCTTGTGCTCGTTATGTGTTTCTATCGAGTTATAGAAACATGATTTTCAACCAATCAGCACACATATTTTCTTACGCCTGTTTTCTAATTAATAATTATTTTATCATATTGTACCTTTGCTGGATCTGCCTCTGACAACCTCTGTCCAACCAGCGTTGTCCTCACTGTCCTCCTTGAAGGCCTCGTCTTCTGTCAGACCATTCTGATAATAGTTTGTCATTACATTATTCACATCATTGGCAGGATTCTGTTTAGGTCCTTTGCTGGAATTGTATTTTCTGTCAAGCTCTGCAAACACCTTCTGGTACAAAATCTCATACACCAAAGCTGTTACAAAACAAATCAGCAAGTGTACAATTTAAGTATTGTAAGGTAGTATCTGTTCTTTTGCATCTCGCTCTTATAATCCCTTACGATGGACTAGCATCCCATCCAGGGTGGAGTAGCAATATTCCTAATCACTTCATGCTACAGAAACCGCAATAAGCTCTGGCCAGATAGGCCACTTGGCTTGTGTGCAGACTTTACCTTCTTTGCCTGACATCTTGGTTTCTGTGACTACATTGTACTACATTATATATCACAGGTTAGACCCTTGACCCCTCCTCCCTTAAAAATTTTACGTCTGATTGCCTGATTGTGGCTTCCTCTCTAAATATTACAATTTATTTCATTGCCCTAACTATACCCCAGTACCCATTTGCACAACTGGGTACATGTATAACAGACTAAAAGTGAGACCAAAATGACTTCTAAACGAAAAACACAACAGAATATACCCTGAGCCCAGTATCAGAACTATATGACGTACTCAACCAGAGTCCAGAGTATCTTCTAACCATTATTTAGTTGACCACTGTAACTCATATTTGGCAACTACAAGCAGATGTAAGCTGCTTGACTGAAAGACATCTTTTTTTGTCATCACATCACACTTTTTAACAACATTCACTGTAAGTTTCACAAACCAGCATTACTACTGGCGAGCTCACTGAATAATTCGGCAAACCTTGCAAACGTTCAAAGATGAAATCACATCAAAGGTTTTATCATCAAGTGATACTTAATGGTCAAAGGGTATGCCAGCTAATAACATACTATATTAATTTCTATTCTAACAATTCAGCCTTCAACAATACTATAACTGTTCCAATACTTACATTGGCACATAGCTGCATTCTTTTGGAATTTCACATCGTACACAGCATCATAATGGTTACCATTGGAATAGCAGAGCATAATCTGCAGACAACAACAATTACACCATATGTTATTAAGTTACACCAATATATTACTCAGTCTAGATCTCTGTAACTTTTATTGTAATCAGGGTTGTCAAAAGCAGCCTGTTATAGGTGAAAATTGCAATCTTGACTGCTTCATGTTGATCTGCTGGGCAATTTCTCTGATTCTTTACAAAGAGTTGCCAAAATAAGCTGCTTACTCCAAAAAATGCTGCCTTCTTCAAAACTTTGTGAACACTGTGTAAAGTATCACCAGTTCCAGATATATTTTGTACATAACGTCATGGAAGATCTAGCCTGTAAGAATGCCAATGTCTACACTGTGAGAAGTCTCTTCTGCTTGAAAATCCATGGGGAAGAATGCCCAGGAATAGGCTTGCAGTTTTGCTGCTTGCTTCTTCTTGTTCGTTTGCATTACTTCCCTTGTGGATCTTCGAGCACAAGAGAGACTGCTCACATGGCAGTTACATAATGTTTGGGACACACATGTAAGCAGCAAAGCTGCAAGAATGAGTTGGTGAATGAAACAAGCTCGCAAGGTGCCTCGCCTTTTCGTGTCTCACCAACTGGTTCCCGCAACTTTGCCATTAGCACACGAGTTGACACAAATGCGAGCCTTCTGCGTGCAGGCTACAGTAGATCATTACCTTGTCTTTAAAGTTGTTGTCAGTCACTTTTGTTGGTTCTGCATTGATGTCTTGGTAAACAACAAAGTCTTTCCTGAAAGTAAGAATTAACAAGTAAACAATGTCATAAAAGGTGTCCTGTTCATATTGATGATAGTAATAAAAATAACTTGCAATGATTTCCTATCCTTAATATGAAAACAACTCCCGGGTTCAAACAAACACTTGCATAAATGTAGATCTTGTCAATAACTTCTTAAATGCAAAACGCACTGACAGAGGGTGTTTTTTTCTCTCCGAAAGCCATGCAGCTGTCTTGTAAACAAACACTTTGAGAGGGACCCTTAGCTAGAATAATACACATACATGTAGTGACAAATGCAAGGGTTTCATGAATTTTTTCAGTAGGAGGACAACTGGTCTTAACAGGCAGGTGAAATTTTTTGACCTGACCTTCCTTATAAGAAAACTTTCCTCCAGATGGTCAAACCAGGTGGGCAAAATCCTCCTCACAGCTGGTCAAATTGGCCCTTAGTGAAACCCTTGGAGATGTACAAAACTAATATGGTACTTACTTGTACATCAGGGACAAAGCACTTATCTCAACTTGGCCTGCCCATTCCTACAATTTCAAACAATACAAAAGACATTACAGAGTTCTAATAACTGCAGCTTTCACCAAAGGTAGTAATGAAACACTCACGCCCCATCCATATTGTGCCGGAGGAATTTAAAGATGGAGGTTTCGCTCTGAAAATGTATCAAATGACTGTTTTCCATCCACACTACACCAGAGGAATTTAAAACTGCAGCAATCACCAGTCATTGCAGATTTGTGTTGGAGGAAAACTCAGTCAGGAAATCATATGAATATCATGGGACCATCGCTTTTGAAAAGCTCCTTTTTCAAAACCAAATAGCAGGCGTTTTCAAATTCTTCTGCACTGAGGAGCGTTTTCGAAAACCTCCGTTTTCATGGCAGATTAGTGTAGATGGTAGGCCTTACCACAGAAATAAAGCTGCATTTTCAAATTTCCGCAATGTAATGTGGACACTGCCTAAATGAATATACATGTATGGATACATGCATGGGATACGTGACCTACAGTGTATGGGTATTTTGGGATGTTCAATTATAACTTCAGTTACACATTTGTCTAAGCTATCCATGACTATCCCAAACCCCCCACCCTGCCCCTGCCCCCCCTCCCATCACATGAGCCGCTGTCTACTGTAACTGTTGTCTACATGTAGGTTAGATATTAAGTGATGTTACCATCAGATAGTATTTCAGAACCTTGTGCATTGTCCAAGTGTTGTGTAGTGAAAGAGACTGTTCTTTGCAAAGTTTTACTGGGTTTTTGCATTATGTTTACATTATTTAGGCATGCATACAGAGACAACAATCAGCAAGCATATTTTTTCGTGCTTAAAAGTTTTATTTAAACATTTCTTCTTTGATTGCCATCAGTCTTTCTTGCGTTCGTGGATTTATGTTATCCAACTGTTGTTCAAGTTAGTCCCTTCGTGCACTTAAATTACATTTTTATTTGACTGTATTTTGAAGTTGACTGTCTCATGTATTTGTTCAAATTATAAATTGTAATAATTCCTGCTGGAATTGTGTGTGTAACACTGGTGTTTGTTATCAGTTCTATAATCAGGAATATCCTCATTGAACAGGACCTTGAGCTTGCACTTGCAAGCCTGCAGATGCATCTATAAAAGCCAGGTTACAGTAACAAGGTACTAAGTCCTGTTATCAAACAAGTTATTCTCATACCTTTGGGTTTTGGAGTCTAAACAAATGATGATCAAATGGTCCTTCCAAAAACTAAACAATGCAAAAACAACAGAAACATTAGACTTCTTAAAAAATAAGTTACATGTTTCATCTTGATTCCTGCTATGTGTCTCCTTTCATTTTATGGCAATCAAAAAAGCAAAAAACTTGGGCGACTACTTAGATTTGCACAAAATTGTGGGAGCAACTACCTTGCGAGCAGTTGGTTATGCTATGAATGACGGCAAAGGAGAAACCAACTGTCCGCCGGGTAGGGAGCCACAGAATGTGAGCAGTCCATGGCTCAGGGCCAATTACAGGTATTTTTGCTCATTTTTTGCGAGATATCTCCTCAGTGCATTTCGTATACATGTAGTGTGGCCAGTATATCATGGAATGCATTCTACCATGGGAAAAATGTATCACTGCAGTCCTAACTGAAGGGTAAGCAAGAAAACCAATTTTCTTTGCTCTCTGTACATGTAATGTTACTAGCTACATGTATCTGGGCCAGGTTTTTCGAAAGCCGTTTATAACACTTACCCAGGATTAAACGTTTACCAAAGTATTCAATTTTCTTGTATAAAAATGTTTTTCACTACTTATGTTTTGTGTATAGTAGTTTGAGATTACTCAAACTCAAAACTGAAGGATAACCAATGTCAATGGAAAACCTAACCGGCAAGTTCAAAAACTGAAATCAAACTTCTCGCTAATCCTGGGTTAGCTAAATCAGGCTTTGAACAACTTAGCCCTGGGCATTATGACTTATTACATGTTTATTTTGTGTAGAAAGTGTAAAATATTTACTGCTTCAAACTTATCCCTGTTTCTTCGCATAAAATCTATGCAGTCCTTGCGAACTTGAAGATGTTTTGCTTGACAGTTGTAAACCTAAAAAAGCAAAACAAAAAATCAGTTTTAAAAAATCTTGACACATAAAGGAACATAAAAACAACCTAAAACTTTATTTGAATGTTGGTGAATTTAGGTTTTCAGCAAACTGTGTTCCCAAACTCCCAATACCTATCGATTTTCATGTAATCAAGTGTCCTTAACCTCATTATTGACCACTGTATCAAAAGGTTACTTAGATTGTTGAGCCCCAGTATTTATAAATGTACACAAAAGTCGCATGCTGTCAGTATACAAGCGAAAGCTAGAGAACGCAGGTTTCTACAAGTACCCTGATCTTTATCGGTACGCTTCAGATCTGCGGCAATTTTATCGAAAAGCAGCGAGACTTTAAACGCTGGTAGTTACACTATCGTAAACAATTGTGTGAAACGGCATGGAGAACTGTTGTAAGTAGCATAGTAATCACACATGTAAGCTTGCATATTGGTTCCGACTTCATGTATAAAAGCGAAACGACATCTTCCACGGCAACCAATAGTACATGAGTACTGTTGGAGTTTCGCTACAGCCAGTCCAAATGATGGTTTGTTTGTTATAAAACAAAACATCAATTAAAGCAGAACAGAGGCGTTTAAATATCAACGAACAGGGCAAATCCACGCGAAAAATCCGATTTCGAACACGTCTCTAAATCGAGTCGCGGGCAGATAAAAAATAAAACCACGACATAAAAACTCTCATACATTCGACAGTTTCTACGCCATTTGGACTCAAAGTGACACGACTAACCTGCTCAGAAACAGCTCTAAAGAGACAGGATCCATCTTTGGCTATCGGCTTTCTGTACAAGTCCAAGCGAACAAGATACTCGTCCATTGCTGTCTCGGTGAAGTTTCCACCGCCGCCGTTATTCGGTGCATTGTTAACTGGACCCGGCTTTTTCTTGCGTTTGATGTTAGAAGAAGGCATTATTTGGAGCAAGACTGCCGGTTGGCTGCTTTTGTAGCGTGTTGCACGCTTAACGCTTGTTTCTCATGATGTTGTTTGAGAGGAAAATGCGTTTCTTTACATGATTTGGGAAAGAAGAAATCTCATTTACCACCACGAGGGTCAGCCATTGCTGCGCAAAAGGCTGCGGTTATGGAATGTCAGCGGTCTAACAGTGGAAAAATGACGTCACTAAGTTCTAGGCCTTTTCAGATTTTGCACACGCCCCCGGAAGTTAGTGACCGGAAGTTGTTCGTGTTGTTCCTATCTGGGGTTGTTCCATAATGGTAACGAGAGCTCTTACCCAATGAAAATTGTTCCACTATGAAGGCCAGATGGCGGCCATGCGTATTATTTTAAAGAATGAAATATTAATTTCCCTAGTGAGAGAGAGTTTTTGTTGCGAGCAGGACGTTGAAAGGTAAGGAAATTAAACTGAGATTTTCGTTATAGCTCAATTGGAGCCCATCAGTCCCGCGACGAGACTTTTCTGTTTTCGAATTGACTGAACGTTACAATTCACTAGCAGTTAAAATATGATGACATATTTTTCGATGAAAACTAGTGCGATTTTATATATGCCGTGATATGTTTGACTTTTGTCGTGTGCGCCGGAAACAGTGTTAAAAGAATAATGAAGCATAAAGTGGCTCATTTCCGCCATGTACATAGACGAGTAATTCTCTATGAATGTGGTTGTCGTAATCGCAGTCGTAGCGGCTAGTTCTAATGCACCGCCTTAAGTCGCTCGCTCGTTTGTACCAATTTTAGTCATTGCTCAACAAAATTAACCGTTCAGCAACACTTTGCACGCCTGCAGCTGTTACGCTAGGAGACACTGGTTTATCTAGGCTCGATTTCCAGCCGCAGTTCGTGAAATTGGCCCCGTCGGAAATCGAGCCCATGATTTACCTAGAAGGCAAAGCGTTATCATAAAACGAGGAGTCACGTGTGCATTCAAACAATGGAATTGGTTAGTATCAACTTTGAGAAAATATCTAAAGAATTGTCAGCCTCTTGCACCACATATTACTAATAGGAAGTTTTAAAGGAGATACGTAACGAAATTGCACATCTTGAAAAGTTTAGCCTAAATTTTTCAAGTTCGTTGTTTTGTGATCGGTGTTAATTTTCTCCATCCTTAATCATCCTTGTTCCCTTATGAATTATTATTATCTCTTTGGAGTATTTCTATCTCAGTATGATTTTCAGGTTTCCTTCAATTTAAAGGTAATTCTGTACATGGCCAAAATAACTCAAAATACTGTGACTGAGCTCCTTTACGGCAACCGTGAAGACAAATACGAAAACGCGACACGCCCGTAAAAAAACGAATCTTAGCCAGCCAGTTTAAATACATGTATAACACGATGAGGTTATCCGAATCTTCAGGTCTACAAAAAAAAAAAAAAGGCTAGCTGCCGCTGTGTACACATGCACGGAGCGTTCGATCCTAAATATAAATACGAAAGTTGGCCGTGCTGATGATTTGCGTTCTCCAAAGTGAAAGAAAATGGTCACTCTTCACATATCGTCAGTGAACGGCTAAGAAAATGCTTTTGTTCTGTTTTGTTTTTTGTAACATCGGACAATGTCTGCTTCCAAGTCGGCATGACATTTTCATTTTTTTTTGTCATTTTCGTGGCCCAAACCTTCGACGCAGGCTTTTCGAACTGTCCCCTTCACAAATGTCATTAAGTGCGAGTGCAAATTGCAACCCATGAGTACCACGAGAATCAGATAGATTGCGCATTGATGTCACGCGATGGGTTCCTGCATGTCGAAACACCCTGAGGCTCCCCTGAGAAATTTGACAAAAAATGTCCTATTTGGAGTTTCGGTAAAACTTGGGTAGAACGGACTAGGGGATCGGAGTGGTCGTCTGGATCCTGTTGCAATTGCGTGCTGTTGCTGTTGCTGGTGCGTTTTTCGGTTGTGCTTTTTAGTTTTTAGTTTTGCTTTTTTTTTTCTGCGTTTCCTCGTTCATACATGTTACCCTTAAGATTCTAGAACCATCAAGAATACTGAAACTAAATGACACCCACTTCAAAACAATTAAATTTAAAGTTAATGTGACAGCCAACGTTTCAAATGACAGTCTGGATAAATGTCAGCCATGCATTAAGAGGTATCAGATAACACAGCCTGCTTCAAAACTAATATAGCATCGCTGTAATATATTGGACCGTACAGTGTTCAAATTTGTATCCTGATCACGCGCGCGCAAACTGAATTATTTGGAAAATTTTATTTTGACCTGCAGATGACAGAAATCATTGTCAAAGTTTTGTTATCCGATTAAAAGTCCATTTGCAGGACAGTGGCCTTTCAATAAATAATAATCATGTTCATTGTTTGAGTAAGGATTTGATGACAAAAGAGCGGGATGACAAATGAACATTCCACGGCAGATCAAGAAGTTAATCACTGCAAGTCTCGTGAAATTGTTTCCATGCTTTCGTGGGCTAAGCGTGTTTCAAAAAGATTTGCATACAAAATTGGAATTCCTTTCCGAACGGAGCGACGATACTGTTTGCGACAAGCTATGAGTATTGGAACGGGAATACAAACAGCGCTTTTTCACTCAAGATCTTAGGTAAGCTTGTAAATGTTGACCTTTCCTGTTGTATCGAGTTGCCGCGTCAGTCTGCCCTTTCAAGTTATGTGCGCTAAAAATTAACGAACGTCGCGAATTTGTTGCCAATGTACGCTGAAACAAACATAGCTGATTCGCTGGCGATGCAAATTGATGAAATGTTGGCAATGTTGAAAACAAACATGGTATAATGCATACGGACATAGCCATCTGGCATGATCTGAATTCGTTGGATTGGGGATATCGGCGCGTTCAGGTGAGTATTAAAAAGATGGCTTCAGCCTCAGTTCAGGGAAGAGAGTGTTTACACTTAAATAAGTGGCGATGTGCTATGAGAAGACAAATGAAACTTAAGGTTGATTAAGACAAGTCTAGTCTAGCTTAGTCTGTGAAGAATTGTACTCGATAGATGTACCGGTCTATCGAGCGATCCTTCTCAGAAACGGCCACCCGGCGCGTTGTTAATACGGTAGATAGGGGAACTCACGAGAGAGGATCGCTAGGAAGGCTCGATTTCCGCCGGTCTTTCGATTCCGGTCTACTCGCTAGGATGAAAATAAGTCAAATAAAACACAACAAAAAGAAGGCAAGATTTGGGTAGATATCCTCACGGCTCAGTCACCTAACACGTGCTGTTGGAGGGAAATACACTAAAGCCAATGGTCAAATGATGTAAACAACACTGAACAAGAAGCTTTATTTCGCATGTCCAGAAATTTTTGCAGTATTGCTTAGTCGTTCAACAAGGAAAAACAAAATACAGTAACTTTAAATGAACTAAGTGATTCAAAGCAACGGAAACACAAAAGGACTAAGTACAAGAGAGAGTTAACAAATTAGTCACATTGGTGAAAATGATAACAATCTGGGTCATAACTGTAGACATGATGAAGAAATTCATGCATTACAAATGTTTTCTCGGGATTTCAGTGCACATGATACTTTTTCCTCCGCGTAACATTTTTTTTCGGCGCACTGAACGTGCCTGGCGTTTTCTTTCCGTTAGCGGTCGTTTGGATGAATTTTTTTGGTGTAAGTATTCTTCACGCCACCCCACCCTCAAGAGTCAAAAGGTCCACCCCTAAGTTGAGTCTTTGGTAGGAAACTTTCCTGACAAAAGGAGCTATAATTATCAAAGCGTCTGCATATACATGTTGCTTATACTTATGAAGAAAATTAGTCATTGCTAGACCTATATAGTGGTTAGAGCGGTTTTCATTTGAGTTTCGAAAAGTAATTGGTTTTGTATCAACTAGGCAACACGATTGGCTCAAAAAATTCGCGCCACTTTTTCATCCAATCAGAAGCAAAACCAAAACCAATTATTATGACTCATTTGCAGACGTTTTCCCGCGCATTGCATCAACTACGTTTTATCAGTTCGAGTTTTGATTGGTTCACTGGATTGTCCATGTCCTTTGTGATTGGCTACAGTTATCACATTGGTTTTGGTTTTACGACACTCAGTTGAAAACCGCTCTAATCCCGGGTCTAATCAGAGCAATAAACAACTTTGCATTCAGAGTCTTCGTTCTCCTTGGCAAGGTTGGACAGTAAGGAAAGAAGACAGGGACAAGATTGGACAGTAACAAGTTCTAGAAACAGGACAGAATTCAGTCTCACATGTTTATTTCTTTTCATGCCTAGATATGCCGGAAGTATACGGCTATTCCGCCCTTCATAATGCGGTGATAGCCCGGGATCTCAAAGCTGTCCACGCCCTCACAACAACAGACACAGGATGCAATATTGAATCAAGGGATGCTATGGGCTTCACAGCTCTTCATTTAGCCACTCTACAGGGAAATAAAGATCTTGTTGAAAAGTTGGTTCTGGCGGGATGTGATATTAACAGCCGTACAAAAGTAAGTTTCTTGATTTTCACTCAAAAACGTAACTGAGGAGGCAGGTCAGTTAATTATTGTGGTTGATGTTTCTGCTGTCGTTTGATGTTAGTAATTCTTGTTTTTTTTAAGTGATCTGGTAGTTGTTTATTTGTTGTTGCTGTTGTTGTTGTTGTTTTTGTTGCTGTCAGACAGACAGACAGACAGACAGACAGACAGACAACCATTATTTAAGCACGATAATTAACGCTCAGTATCTTATGGGGTAGTCCAAAAAACGTAATGAAATTAAACTAAACTTTGTACAAAGTATATACATGATAGATACAGTTCGTCTAAAATTCGTCGAAAAATTAAACTGTGTAGATCAATTAACTAATTACGCCATTAACCTATGCGCACTTCCTAAATCCTTCGATTAATCTTATTCTAATTGGCCGAAGGATTTAACCAGAATAGGGAGTCGCCCGACAGAAAGCCTTTAGAACTCAATGGTAACCTAGACCTTTTCCAGACCCACCCCCCACAACAAACCTGTCCTTAGTATATGTCACATTTTAAAAACAGAAGTCAGTGTGGGAAACCACGCTCTTGTGTCTCCTTTTTCTGGGGAAGATCTGAACGCGGTTTCGCGTATCGTTCAAAACAATTTAAAGACCTCTTTAAATGGCGGTTAAACCAGAGAGTATGGGAATCACAGCGACTATATTGCTAAAATTTGTTCTATGTTCTCGCTTCCTTCAGGAAGGGATGACTTCACTACACATCAGCAATGAACGTACAGGAGCTGAAGACATCCTTCTTGTGTTAGTGTCAGCCTTGTGTGACGTTAACGCTCGGAACAAACTCGGCCGCACCGCGCTTCATCTTGCCGCAAAACAAGGAAATCTTCCAAATCTGAAGACGCTTCTTGATGCTGGCTGTGACCGGAACATCAAAGACAAACTTGGCTTCACTGCCGTTGGTTTAGCATTCAAGTTTAACCAGAAAGCAAGCGCTGATGTTTTACTCCACTACAAGCCTAAGCGGAATCAATCCATTTGTAAGGAAACTGTTCCTTGTGAAACCCTTTCTAGGGAAGATGTATGTGAGCATAGCCGACATGAAAATCAAAACGGTGAGGCCAAACTGTCCGACATGTTAACGCCTGTAAAGATCCAACAAGTTTGTGATAAAACGCTCTTGAAATTCACGGACCGTGTAACAAACAGAAATGCTTTGTCTCTGAAGATTTACCATCTAATCTTCACTAATTTGACACAGAAGCGAGAAGTAATGGATGGCTTAGTCTCCACTACATCCACGAAAACGATCAAATCTGTGGCGACCATCTTCGAAAGAAAACTCCTGAATCTAATTTTAACAACTTCTACTTCGTTAATTCGGTTTCCCTTGTCATCGTATATAATAGCAGCGCTGGATGATAAACTCACAAAACGATGTCTTTATGATTTAAAACTGTGTACCTTTGAGACAAGCGGTCAACTTGGAAGAGATTTAGAGTCAAAAGTGCTAACGAAGTTGATGCAAGGACTTCAAGACTCCTTGCATTTTTCTTCAAAGCCATCGACGACGGTTTCTAGGTTGGAATGGAAACCGCAAAAGAAAGAACCCACCGTAGAAAAGTTAAAAACTTCCGCGCAAATACTGGTTGAAAGTGGCAACGGGCACAGCACTGAAAATTCACTGACAGCGCAGAACTTGTGCGGCAACGCAGTCTTGGAGGCTCCATGTGACCTCACAACATTGCAGAGTCAGTGCGAACAGAAAGGTGTAGATATTGACTATGAAGCGTGTGAAGGGTGCCTTAAAAAGCTTAACAAAATCTTAGTAGTCCTTGGAGATTCAGGGAAAGCCTCGGAAGATGTTTATGAAATTGAAAGCAGTTTTGTAGTGAACAACGGCGAAAACTGTCTCTCGCGTTTGGATCACATGTTAAGTAACAAAAGTGGACAAGCTTCATTTGCAGAAGATGTTTTAGAAGCCTTCTTACAGCACCCAGACCACTTCATCTTTTGTCTGAAACAGAAAGGTTCCTCATTTAGTACGCTTTTGAGCAAACTATTGCCAGACGATGGACCCTGGGTAGCAGATAAAATAGCGAAGATTTTTCTTCGAGTCTGTGTTGCTTTGGCGAGTGACCAGCACTTGCTGCTCAGTTGCGCAGCTGCTGTTATGAAGCGTGGCCTCGTACACGAACATTCCAACCCAGCAGCTCTTGGTACTTGCATTTTAGTGAGAATGGGACTTCTTAAACAGGAGGATGATGTGGACATTGTCAAGGACCTTGAGGGTCCCCTCTTGGCCCTAGAACATTTATTTGCCGAGAAGTATTTTCCTAGAGATCTTGCTGCCATCTTCGCTTCTTTTCTTTGCAAGTCAAGCCCTAAGCTGTTCGGATTGGACCAGCTGCGCCTTCAGACACTAGCGTCCGCGGTTGTCAAGGAAATTCTTCCGTCTTCAGCTCAAGAAGCTGAGAGTAACACAGGAAAACACTTCAAACGGATTTGTGACATTCTGGCGGTCGAAGGCGACTGGGAATTACTTATGAAATGTGTCGATTCCTTGTTCTCGCGCGTTTTTGTGACACTGAAATGCGACGTGTGGCCCATTGGTGAAAGTATTCTTATTTACCTTGGTCTACTGAAAAGTGAATTCCATATTGAAGCGGTAAGGAATCTTAGCTGTGCTTTCAAAACACTACATCATGCAGTGAAGCAGAGCTATTTTCCACCTCTTCTAAAACAATTGCTTGGCTGTTTCCTACGAAAACCGAATCCAACTCTTACGCCACATTCCACAGAAGTCGGCGAGATATTGTCTACAATGACCGTTGTAAGCTAACTCAGTAAATCAGCTTAAAACTTCACTATTAGGTTTTTGCTCTAAGAAATTCTTACTGCGTGAAATTTTACTCTTTACATTACTGTCAATATCCTGCAGGTTTGATGTTTGATATCCAAATTCAAACGACCAATTTGGTCGTTGTATAAAATATGCTTCAATCGACGACGGTTTTGGGAGGACACGTCCATTTTTACAGTCTTGGAAATCCCTCACCCTTTTCGTGACTATAAATGAGTTGACAGTCACCCTGCGCCAACAAAGTTTTAACTGTAAATTAAAATGATACAACTTAATATAAAATATTTTAACGTATCCAGCGAGGAAGCTTAAATATAGACAGAACGCAACAAAGTGACTGATTTAATTTCTAAATCGGAAGGTACTTCTTTTCACAGCAGTGACGAACTAGCCACTTCTTTGTATCTACATTACTGCCGGCTATAAGCCAGGGGTGGGGTGGGGGTGGGAAGAAGAGTACCCAGCAAAGTAATGGGGATGATCAGTGAGGGAGGACTGTGGAGAGGCGCATGGGGAGAGATAAGTAAGAGAAGAAGTCTGATATTTCGGACTACTGTTGATACACGACATCTGCCAAATTACTTGCTCTATTTACGTTTATTTCCGACTACAGCATTCAGGTATCCAGAAGAGCCGAGAGAACCAGAACCGTGGCTTATTAAAAGGCCGTCCGATGCTTTTTTT